GTGTGTGTGTGTGTGTGTGTGTGTGTGTCGCACTTGCGCGAGGTGTTGGTTCTGAGTGCCTTCATCATGATGCTGCAGGTGTAGTGGTCGACCTTGACCCCGTGCCGCTCCATCTCCTCGATGAGCCGCCAGGCGGTGTCGAGCCGCCCGTTGGTGACGGCCGCGTTGATCATGCTGTTGAAGGACACGTCGTTGGGGCGGATCTTCGCCTCGAAGACCATCTGCAGGAAATGTGTGTGTGGGTGTGTGTGAACATTGCTGCATCTCTCTCTCTCTCTCTCTCTGTGTGTGTGTGTGTGTGTGCGTGTGTGGGTGGGTGTACCTCTCTAAGGACGTGCTCGGCCCCGTCGAGGTTGGAGGTGTTGCAGTAGCCCTTGAGCAGCGTGTTGTAGGAGATCACGTCGACCATCTTGCAACCCTTCATCTCTGCAAACACCGACTGAGCAGCCTGCAAAACCCAACAGACACACACACACACACACTCTCTCTCTCTGTGTGCGTGTGTGTGTGTCTGGGTGTGTGAGAAATCGTGCCTGCAGGTCTTCGCAGGTGACACACACGTCCAAGACGCAGTTGTAAGCCGTCGTGTCGACCGGCAGGCTGGACCGCTTCAGCTGCTCCATGACATCCAACGCCTTGGCCACGTTGCGCTCCCTGCCACACGACCGGATGAGCGACATGTAGTTCTGGATGTCCGGCTTGGAAATGGCGAACAGAGAGCGGGCCATGTCGATCCGGCCGCACTCAACCTGTTGGTGCACAGACAGACAGACAGACAGGGGGGAGGGAGGGAGGGAGGGAGAGAGAGGGATGACTGTGGGTGTGTGGGTGGGACTGGGGGGACGGGCTCACGTACGGCGAATTTCTGAAGGCATCCGAGCATCGTGGCGTCGGGCTCGAGGCCGTCCGCCAAGACGCTCTCATACAGATCACACGCCCTGCCGTATGACCCTGCAATACACACAGGCAGGCGGCCATGTGTGTGTGTGTGTGTGTCGATGGCTGTTGGCTGGCTGCACACACCGACCGGCATAGGCGTAAACTTTCATTAGTGCGCTATAGACGGCGAGGCTCATCCGATGGGCAGACCGCAGGTATGACACCACCTGCACAGACCATATATCCACCCACCTCTCTCTGTGCTGTCTGTTCTCTGTTCTCTGTGAGCGAGCAGAGCGCACTCACATACTTCTTCCGCGAGCTTCAGGTTTTGCGACTCTGCGCAGAGGGCGATCACCCCCACACAGGTGCCCTCAGACAAGTACTCCCACCCTATGAAACACACACACACACACACACACAGAGAGAGAGAGAGAGAGAGGGAATGAGCATACCCACCACACGCATATAAGCGACCGACCGACCTTGTTTCTGCATCTGCTTCCATATGTTTGTGCCTCTCGTGCCGTCCCCCAGCACGGCGTACAGCTTCAGCAGCGAGTCGTACGACGAGTAGGACATCAGGGTGCCGTGCTGCCGGCCTATGCGCTCAGCCTAAACACACACCACACTATGTGTACGTGCCAGGATGGGTGTGTGTGTATACCAACCCTTTTGCACAGTGCGACGTCTTGTTTCTTGAAGGCGAATTCTAGGATGGCCGAGAGCGACTCGGGCGGCAGCAGAATGACGCCCGTCGGCCTCTCGCGCGAGCCGCCGTGAGAAGTATCCACCTCCTGTGCCCACAGACACACACACACAGAGGAAGAGAGAGAGAGTCGGTTGGGGGCTTGGGGGGGGGGGGGGGGGGG